AATTTCAAATGTTCCAATGCGATCTGTCGTACGATGATAGCGGCAGAATTAACCTGCGTTTTTAGGTACCATTGAAATGAATGGTACCTGAACACACTGAAGAGCGATTTGATGTTTTAACAGCGTGTTTTGAAATTGTGAGCAATTCCGCCTGAGATTCAAAACGCCTATATGTAAACGGAGCTGAAATGTTTTTTACTTCACTTTTAATTAAATCTTCCTCTGCCTACTCTTCATTGTTTGACCCCTTGCTGACCGCATAACACATACATGCAGAGGCAAAAATAGTGGATTTTAACACCCAGCCCCCACACATACAGTATGTCCTGGGATTGTGTACTGATAATGCGCTCCCAGCATTCTGACTGATCTGTTATTCTATGCATTAAGGTAAAAAATGCCCCGTTTCCTGTCCCCACTCCCCCTTGTCCCTAAACACTTGTCTGACACCTCTCACCAATCCAGAACTGTCCCAGCTGCACCATCTGCCTTTCTGGTCTCACAGGAGACACTGGCAGTGGGAGCCATAGGCTCCTGCTACTGTCATTCAAACACCTCTGAGGAGGGAGTTGGAGGTGTGGCTTACTGGTTCTGTGCATGGCTATGGATGCACACAGCCTGGTTAGGGAGCTCACCCACACAGATACCCTCTTAGTACACAAAGGAGGAGTGGAGAGGGCTGGTGGGGAACCCTAGAAAAGGAGGTAAGAGACCTCTCTGTGCAATGCAATTATACAGGGCAGGTAAATATAACATTGTTTTTATTTTAAATTAAAAAAACAGACTTTACATTCACTTTAGTGATTCTAAATATTTTTTTTTTAATAACAAACACAGTATGTTTACCAGCTCTGTGCAATGGTTTTGCACAGAGCAGCCCCGATCCTCTTCCTTTTGTCGGTTGTGACTTCTCCCCCCTGACAAGTGCATCCAATAGCAAGCCTCTAGCTATGGGGGCGCTCGAACTGGCTTGTTCCTGACAATGTCCATTCACACACACACACAGCGTAGCTCGGTCCCGCCACCACTCTTTCCTCATTGGCTCACTCGCTGCAATTGACAGCAGCAGGAGCCAAGGGCTCCCCCTGCTGTGTGAGCCAATGAGGAACAAGAGACCCGGGAGAGCTGTGGATCTCATGCACACTGCTGGATTGAGATGGGGCTCAGGGTGGAGCTGCACCCAGAAGGTTTTTTACCCTAATGCATACACTGCATTATGGTAATAAAACCTTCTGCCTTTAGAACCACTTTTTCACTCTCTCTCTCTCTATAGATATTTAAAACAGCACAGTAAAGAGTTCATGTTTACACAGCTAGGTGATGTGTAAGGGTAGGTGCACACCACTGCGTACTGATGATGTGCACTGCATTGTGTTTCTGCTTGCACTGTGATTACTATGCTTTTACAGCGCACTGCAATGCAATTTGATAAAATACTGCCTGCCTTTTTTTCCAACCCACATTAACGCTTTGCATTTTTAGCCTTTTGCCTTGTTGAAGCATTGGAACTACATTGTCCAACACAACTGAATGCATGTGCTGTGAACAAGCCCTGAAGACCCTTTCATACTAGCACAGTCTGCTATGGGGCATTTAACTCGCATGCATTATGTTAAGGCTGCCTACTCACTTGAATGGGCTGTCTAAGGGCTTGTTCACACAGGCTGCTTTGTATAACGCGCATGCTGGTGTGCACTGTCAAGGGGCCGATGCCAATGCATCACAAACTCGCTGTTTACATTCTTTTAACTTTGTTGTTTTGTCCCAAAATGACATTTAATTTGTCTTTTTTTGCAGCAGTGGGTTGTGATGCAGGGTAATGCGTTTCAAAATACTGTGCTGATAAAGAGTACTGCATGCTCTACTTATTTCATACACATCATTGCAGCACTGTGGTGTGAGCTGAGCTTACAGGACTCAAAGCAAATTGCCTTACCTATGCATTGGGTCCAGGGGCAAACTGACAACTCATGGGACCCCCTGGACAATAGGGGTTCATGGGGCCCCTGTGTCCTTGCCCAAACTCAAAAAAGCCTATGAAAAAGGTACCATGGGCATTTCATGGGAACCCCTACTAACCCTGGGCAGTGCCCGAATTTCCAAATGGTCAGTCCGCCCCTGATTGGGTCTATGTTGGGCAAGACAACCCAGTGCAGACTAACACATATGGCATGAACAGGTCCTTAAGAATGACAATTAACCAAAAATCAAGTATGCCGAATTGTCGATAGTGCGCAGTACTGCCTTACCACACATTGTGGTGTGCTGCAATGTAGGTGCTCTGGGAAGGTGTGTTCGGGTGCCATTCTGAATCAATAGCATCACACTAACACATGTTCCAAGGAGCAGGGCCCTCCTATCCCTCTTGTATTGAACTGTATTGTTGCTGTATTGTCTCCCGTTCTATTGTAAAGCGCTGAGCAAACTGTTAAAGCGCTGTATAAATCCTGTATAATAATAATAACTAGAAAAGCTACAATTTCTGGGGAAATTGTGTGAAGTGTTCTTGCCTCCACCAGTAGTCTACAACTGGAGTGGGCGGAGTAGCTTTTGTCACTCTGCTGCCTGCTCACACACCTGGGTTCCTATGGCAACTCACTCTACAGCAAGGGCAGAGGAGCGGTTAAAAACAAACTGCTCCAACTTGCTCACTTCACTGGCTGTTGCCACTTCAAACAGTTGTAGTTTTAAAATTATAAATTCTACACCGAAGAACTTTATATTGTGAGAATCACAAGACCCAGACCTACATTTTGATGCATAGCATGTCTCTGAAATATTAAAAATGAAGGCACAGTCACAGTTTAGAATTTGCCCTTCAAATTTCAGGTGGCTAGAGTGCAGTTTCAATGAATGTCAATGGGCGGCGTGAGTTGCAAACTATCAGGACTATGGCTTAGTCGTGGACATTGTTAGTGGCAGCAGGGATAGCTGAACGTTTTGATATATGATTTGTGTAGGTGGGCTTGAAAATGAGGGGAGTGATGGCAGTTTAGAAATCATGTCCTGATTTTTCAGCTCCCACTCTACTTTTGAACATTGCGCCATTCATTCCTATGGGACCAATTTCACCACAAAAATGGCGATATTTCGTGAACCATTCGGCGAAACGTTCCACAAAGTAATAGCACACCAATCGGGAACAATCCGATACGTTTCTGTATATTACTGTCTATGTAGTGTAAAAACTGTGGGAGGAGTTAGGGTGGTAAATTTGGCTATAATAACAAGAATATATATGTGAGATAACAGTAAGTGGTCTGCCATGCAAAGAACCCTTAATAATGTTGTCATTGCAGTGTGCTGTTGTGAATAGGCCATAGGACACCATGGGACAGTCAATCATGTACTCTGATATTTATGGGCACATAAGAATTTTATTCACATGAGCGGACCTATCTGTACACCCATTTGAAGGCTTGTCCAAGGGTGTGGAAATTTTTTAACCGCTTCCCAACCGCCCTGTAGCAGAACCACATATATATATTGTAACGGGGTTCGCTTGGCAGCGGGTGTGTGTGACCCCCTGGATGGGTGCACAACACAAAAACACAGGCACAGCACAACAGTGGAGGTGAAAAAACAAAAAGGTTCAGTTTATTTACAATATTTACAGGAAAACGTCAAACCAAAAAGAAACATCAAATCAAACCCTGGCCAACTGGATATTTACTGTACAATTAGCTTCCCTAGCTATCCACCAGGTACAGCCTGATACTATACCTAGTCCCTGTTAGTTGGAGGCTTAGCCACACAGGCTTTTGTCTCCCTGCACACAGATAATATGTTGCTCCCCAGTCTACTCAGGCAACGATCTGGTTCCAGGGTGGAGCAACTCCCTAAGCAGGCTGGGAAGTTTTATAGAGGCCTTAATGAGCCCACTACCTTCAGCTGGGCTCATTACCTCAGTGCTGAAGGACTCAGCACTTCCCCTAGTGGAACAAATCCCTATAGAGTCTAAACCTTGGACAAATGTATCGTCCATCCAGACGCAACCAGGTGATTTCACCTGCCTACTGTCACAATATATATACACATGATTTTGCGTTTCCGGTAGGGGGCACGAGCAAGCCCTACCCGTGCCACCGTTCGCCGCTGTCAATCATCGGGTCCCGACCGGTAATTAATCGCCAGCACCTGGTGATTTCCAAAGATCTCCAACCGAGAGGAGGACTGTTTTGTTTACTAACAGTTCTCCCTGTCGGGCACACTGCTTTGGATGGCTGTGCACAGCACAGCCATGCAGAGCAGTGTGTTTACAGTGAAGCACACTGACACCGCCCCCTTGCAAAACACTCCCTCAACACAGTTAACCCTTTGAGCGCCCCTCATGTTAACCCCTTCCTGCCCAGTGCCATTAGTACAGTGTCAGTGCTTTTTTTTTTTTAGCACTGACCACTGTACTGGTGTCACTGGGGATGTCAGTGATACCAAGTTAGTTCCCCCCAGTGTCAGAATGTCCACGACAGTCCCGCTATAAGTCGCTGATTGCTGCCATTACTAGTAAAAATAAATTTAAAAAAAATTCCCAGTATATATACCGCCATTCATAAACGCTATAGCTTTCACATAAACCAATTAATTTACACGTATTGGGATTTTTTTTAGCAAAGACATGTAGCAGAGTACATTTTGGTGTAAATTTATGATGAAATTAAATTTTTTAAGTTTTTTTACTGGACATGTTTAATAGCAAAAAGTCAAAAATATTGTTTTCTTTCTCAAAATTGTTGGGTTTTTTTTTTTAAAAAAATCAAATACCACCAAAAGAAAGCTCAATTAATGGGGAAAAAAGGCCGTAAATTTCATTTGGGTGCAGCGTTGCAAGACCGCGCAATTGTCAGTTAAAGTAACGCAGCGCCGTAACGCAAAAAATGGCCTGGTCAGGAAGGGGGGTAAATCCTCAGGAGGGCAAGGGGTTAAAAAAGCTGCTCCTATGTCGGTGCATTTTGCAGCTGTTTTTTTTTTTTAATTGATTTATATTTTATTAATTTTTATATATATATTTATTTATTTTATATACCGTATTTTTCGCTCCAAAAGATGCACCTGACCATAAGCCGCACCTAGGTTTTAGAGGCAGAAAACAGGAAAAAAATATTCTGAACCAATGGACTGCAGACATAGTACAAGAGATGACCAGAGATGCAGACACAGTACAGAGATGACCAAGACTGCGGATATAGTACAGGAGATGACCAAAGACTGCGGACACAGTACAGGAGATGACCAGAGACTGTGGACACAGTACAGGAGATGACCAGAGACTGTGGACACAGTACAGGAGATGACCAGAGACTGCGGACACAGTACAGGAGATGACCAGAGACTGCGGACATAGTACAGGAGATGACCAGAGACTGCGGACATAATACAGGAGATGATCAGAGACTGCGGACATAGTACAGGAGATGACCAGAGACTGCGGACATAATACAGGAGATGACCAGAGACTGCGGACACAGTACAGGAGATGACCAGAGACTGCAGATAGTACAGGAGATGACCAGAGACTGCAGACAGTACAGGAGATGACCAGAGACTGCGGACAGTACAGGAGATGACCAGAGACTGCGGACACAGTACAGGAGATGACCAGAGACTGCAGACACAGTACAGGAGATGACCAGAGACTGCGTACATAGTACAGGAGATGACCAGAGACTGCGGACACAGTACAGGAGATGACCAGAGACTGCGGACACAGTACAGGAGATGACCAGAGACTGCGTACATAGTACAGGAGATGACCAGAGACTGCGTACATAGTACAGGAGATGACCAGAGACTGCGGACACAGTACAGGAGATGACCAGAGACTGCAGACACAGTACAGGAGATGACCAGAGACTGCAGACATAGTACAGGAGATGACCAGAGACTGCGGACACAGTACAGGAGATGACCAGAGACTGCAGACATAGTACAGGAGATGACCAGAGACTGCGGACAGTACAGGAGATGACTGCTGACTTTTGGGGAGGGGGGGGGGGAGCGGGTACCTGAATTTGACAGGTACCCGATCTTACTTCTGCGGAGTTGTTCTTTGGTTAGTGTCAGCTCTGCAGCGGGACCTTACCTGTTCCTCTATCCAGCGCTGTCTTCCCGGCTTCTGTAGTGTGGGCGTTCGGCTTGACAGCAGGGTGCCAAGTGCGCATGAGCGAGAAGCGCTCTGCGCTTTGTGATTGGTCCGGCGGCTTTTGGGACCTGTCATGTGTCCCAGGTGCTGCCTTACCATTCACAAAGCGCACCGCTTCTTGCGGACTTGGCACCCGGCTGTCAAGCGAGTGCCCACACTACAGAAGCCAGGAAAACAGCGCGCCGCTGGATAGAGGAACAGGTAAGGTCCCGCTGCAGAGCTGAGCGGCCGGCCCGGTATTCTGACACGGTGGAGGTGGAAATACCGGACCAGCCGCTCCATATTTGCTCCATAAGATGCACTGACATTTTCCCCCCTTTTTTTGGGGGAAAAAAAGTGCGTCTTATGGAGCGAAAAATACGGTATATATTATTTTACATAAGTATAGCGAGTGCTCAATATATTTTATTTGGTTAAAAAGCTACTTGTCCGGGGACTAAATCAGGGTCCCAATCTGCTTGTTCCTCATGACAATCTACAAAAAAAAAAAAAGGAGGGTTGATGATTTTTATTAGGCAGAGGTGTTTTTCAGAATGTCTTGGGCTTTTGAAAACAAAAGGAGCTTTATTGTGACTTAAACGTTTAATGTTTTTAACATTGCGCTGTGTATATCCTATTCACCTCCCTGCTTGTCTCCAGCACCACACCCGGGGACTAGCAGGGAGGGGAGAGACCTTGCAGTGTGACAAGTACTGATTGGGCGCTTGTCAGGAAAGGGGAGTGTCAGGCTTTTTTAACGCTCAGCAGACACACATCTACTAAGCAAGTAAATAAGGTGCCGGCCCCAATGAGAAAAAAACAACTTTATTCGCTCAGGTTACCCTCACACACAGAAACACTTGGGTGCTCAGTACTAGTGCTCCGACGTCCCGCTCCGTTAGGCCCCGTTCACACAGGGGCATTTTGGGATTGTGGCATAATTACTGCAATTCTGCCCGCAATGTCAAAACACACTACAATCACAAAACGCAGGTTCAGGTGTCATTTTTTTCAATGGTACCTAAAACGCAGTGCGGTCACTGCGCAATTCACTGCTCTGCAAATTGCATCACATGAAGCTTGTTGCCCAAAGAGGAGCAGGAGCATCTTTTGGGCGACAAGCTTCACACAAAGCGATTAGCTACAAGACAATCACAGCAAAACCAAACCACGATTTAGATGCCATTGAAATCAATAGCACCTGAACCTGTGTTTTCCGTTTCTGCTATGATTCCAAAATGCCCATGTGTGAATGGAGCCACCCTGGTTCACACATATGCGATTCTGGATGCGTTTTCAAATGCACAGATTCACACGACAGGCTAGATATTATGTGTTCCTATTGAGGTGGTTCAAGTGTTACTAAACCCAGGACCCCGCATTCACTATATCTGGTCCCCCACAGTACACACAACATGGAAATGATATTATTTTAATACATATAAACTGTTAAATACCTTTTCTCATCAGCAGTTAGAACAATCTTGTGACTTCAGCAGAGCACTGGTTAAAGCTTATAGGAGGAGTTTTCTTTCTGCTCTAGGAGGATGCAAAACCCCTGGCCTCTGTCTGGACAGTGCTGATTGGCCCTGTGCTGATCATATGCACTCTGCCAACAAAAAATAAACCTCTCTAGTAATACACACCAAACTGAGCATGTGCATGTGGCTACAGATTCAGTCTGTCTTATCAGGTGGACATCTGAACAAGAGGAGGGGCAGAGAAAACAGGATCAAATGGCATTTTCCACACAATACAGAAGATTAACCCCTTAGGTTCCACAGTGAGTATACTGCATATACAGACTGATTTTACTGTGCGGGTTTAGTAACAATTTCATACATGTGTTCCACATGCATTGTGATCTGAGTACCATGAGAAAAATGGTCCTGTGCGAGTTTGTAGCAGTGCGTTCCAGACTCACAAGTGGTAGAGTGACATGCATAGATAAGTACTTACATAGGATTGCTATTGACAGGAGTTTTCTCTTTGAAGTGAATTAAGGGTGTTTTTGCATTTAAATTAATGGGAGGAGTTATTGCATTGAAGTCAGAGGGAGGCGTTTTTTGCATGAAGTAAATGGAAGGCGTTATGTCATTGAAATCAGTGGGAGCCGATTTTGCACTGAAATCGATGGGAGGCGATTTTGCATTGAAGTCAATGGGAGCCAGTTATCGAGAGAGAGTTGGTAAAATCATGCCTGTTCTGAAATTGCACAGGAATGGTATTCACAAAGAAGAATTGCAATTTCAGCACACATAAGTATGAACCTAGGATAAAGAGGCTGCTTTCCCGCAGCAGGGCTAAGTGTAAAAAAATCCCACCTGCCCGGCGCCTGGAATTGCTTGTCCTGGGTGTCAGGTGATATGATTTACACATCCCTGTTGTCTTTGTCCCTATGGGCTGCATAGGTTTTCCTTGCATCCGCGTATAGATCCATTCATGTCTATTGGGAAGCAGTAGCTGCAGGGATGCAGCCGCTGGTCCCAATTTGACAGCCGTTCAGATGTGTGGCTCTGAACTCTGGCACAACTTACTATCAAATTGGGACCAGTGTGTGTAGACTTGAAGGAGACTGCCTGCATGTGGATGAACGGAACACTGTGTGGGCAAAGACAACCCTTCCCACGGGTGTAAGGATAGGTAAGCCATTGTGGATTAGGCCTTACTGAACAATATAGAGGCTGCCATTGCCAATCACCTATACTAAAATGGCCGTAGTGCTGGCTGAAATTCATTAAAACTGTCATTGTTATTGAGCAAGTATACAAACTTGTTTGATTTTCTTGATTCAGGTCAATGTCAATGGGGGCAGCACAGTGGCTAAATGGTTATCACTTAATCCTGGCAGTCCTAGGGTCATTGGTTCAAATCCCAGCCACAGCATCACCTGCCTGTAGTTTACATGTTCTCCCTGTGCCTGCATGGGTTTCCTCCAGGTACTCCAGCTTCCTCCCACACTCCAAAGACATGCTAGAAGGTTAATTGTCTTCTGTCTAAATTGGCCCTAGTATGATTATTATTATACAAGATTTATATACTGCCAACAGTTTGCTCAGCACTTTACAATATAACAGGAGATAATACAGCAACAATACAGTTCAATAGAAGAGGGTTAGGAGGGCCCTGCTCCTTGGAGCTTACAATTTAAGAGGGAGGGGCTAGTGGTAGAAAAGGTAATAACTGTGGGGGATGGACTGGTAGGAGAAATAGAAGATTCCATTATTAGCTGAGGGCAGGATAGGCTTCCCTAAAGAGATAGGTTTTCAGAGATCGCCTAAAAGTGAGCAGAATAGGTGATAGCCTGATAAATTGGGGTAGAGAGTTCCAGAGGATGGGGGAAGCTCTGAAGAAGTCCTGGAGACGAGCATGGGAGGAGGAGACAAGGGAGCTAGGGAGCAGAAGGTCGTGCGAGGAGTATGATATGTATGAATGTGAGTTAGGGACCTTAGATTGTACATCCCTTGAGGGTTAATGACAGATGTGAATGTACAATATATATATGTAAAGCGCTGCGTAAATTGACAGCACTATATAAGTACCTGTAATAAATAAATAATAATAAATGTCCCAGGAAATATTGTGCTTTGAGAATTTGGAGAAGATCACAAACTGTAGCCTCCATTCTCTTATGACAGGTCTGATTTATAGAACTTTATATATTCTCCTGATTATTTATCCTACATCTGAACTTACATTACCTTCTTCTCCTTTGATGTGTACTCGGTGGACCTGCAGACAGACGAATGTGAAGAATGAGCTATTAGTGACACAATAGAGTGCACATGACAGGTGATCCTGGGGATGTATGCTGGGAATTAATTACATCCATATGTTCACACTCTGCTACAAACGTGCATCTCAGGAAACAACCCAGGACTAAGGACAAGCCATTTCTATTCAAATAAATATGGTGGAAGAACAAGTACAAGTAGACTTAACATCAGGCACATTATTTTATGTTAAGTGCTATAATATCTGAGGATAACATGGTAAAATGGTCAATGATACTGATGATGTTACTTTAAACTGACTTTATGGTCAAAATGTAAAACCATATATTCATTCCCATATTGTATTTCAGTTATTTGTTGTCCTACTCTTGTTAATCTGAACAATCTTGAAGTTCATAATCTTACTCTGTGAAGATTCTCTCTGTTACACGTATTCCCTATGTCCTGTGATTAGGCTCTGCTGTGTCACACGTTTCGCAGAGCCTGCCTTCTCAACTACAGAGGTGCTGAGAGGAGGAGTTTCAGGAGGCGGAGTCAGTACAGGAAACACTTCTTGCAAGCAGCAATTTATCATGGGATATGTAGTCCTTAGAAATTGAAAGCAAACAGCTGAGAAGACACTGTAACACAAGCAGGGAATCCTGGAAGTTGTGTAAAGAGATGGCCAGTAGACAGACAACACTTGCAACATGAAAAGAGAGTAAGTGTATATTGGATTGTCAAAATAACTATTGTATGTATTACTATTATAATGCTGATGATAAAAAATGAAAGTGTATACTGTGGCCATAAATTTCCTTTAAAGTGTTACTAAACTCAGGACCCTACATTCACTCTATCTGGTCTCCCACAGCAGACACAACATGGAAGTGCAATTATTTTAGTAAATATAAACTGCTAAATACCTTTTCTTATCAGAAGTTAGAGCAGTCTTGTGGCTTCTATCTGTGTTCAGCCAAGCACTAGCTAAAGCTTGTAGGAGAAGTTTTCTTTCTGCTCTAGGAGGATGCAAAGCCCGTGGCCTCTGTCTGACCAGTGCTGATCACATGTACTCTCTCATGGAAAGAAAAACCTCTCTAGCAATACATACCAAACTTAGCATGTGCAAAATGCCTACGGTTCAGTCTGTCTTATCAGGAGATAAGAGGTGGTCACTTGAAAAAGGGGAGGAACAGAGAAGAAAGATTCA